GCTGATTACACATCTGATTACGCTCATATCTATTGATATTCGGCATACATCATTAAAATATGTGTTTCAATTTTCCTTCCAGAATTTCCTATATGATGGCTTTTGTTTTATATTTGATATCATTAAAATTCTATGATCAAACTTGAGTACCAAGATACATAATGTCTCTAAACTTTGTTCCATCCATTCAATGATGTTTTCTTAGTTTCCATATTCCCATCTTAGCTGTGATTGAATGGCTCTGAAAATTCACATTTGTTTATCAGTGGTTATTTGTTGCATGCAATTGGAAATTTGTGCTTGAACTGGAATTCAATCAAGAGGCAACGGACATGTAGGTTTTTAGTTTCCTTTTATAGAATAAGTTTTTATTTTCTAAAAGGAGTATGCTGTAATAGGATGATCTGACTAGTGGGGCTCTAGAGTCTTGATTTGTCTATTTTCAACCATGTAAATAATGTCAAATGTTTGGAACTCTACCAGGTAGCTCCGAGTGACTTATCTTTTTCCACGAGGTATGTTTGGTGGAACAGTTCCTAGGTTGTGAACCTTAGAATATCTTGTTAATTGATTAGGCTATCAACTGAATATAATTGTGAGTTTTATAGAATGTCCAAGATTCAACAGATATGGAAAATTTTGTGTCCTGCCTGTCTCTGACTGAAGTACTCACTCACTCGCTTACTAAAAAATACATCTTAGTGATTAATTTTCCAGTTAACTTCATTACTTGCTGAGATTGGACTGAATATTCAAGAAGCTCATGCTTTTTCCACTGTCGATGGATTTTCTCTGGATGTTTTTGTGGTCGATGGTTGGCACTATGAGGTACGAGTTTGGATGTTTCAGCATAGATGTTTGAGTCACATTCTTCTTGTTCATTGAACAAAGTGTTCTTCCATGTGGGAACATTTAGGAAACCGAGGAGCTTAAAAGTGTGCTGCAAAAGGAAATTTCAAAATTAAAGGTAATTTTGCTCCTTAATTTTCCTTAGTTTATTGTTGTGTATGATCTAGAACAAAAGTTGAATTGTCTCGTGCTTTGAATAGACTGAGATTATTTATGGATATGTGAATGCTCTGGCTGGTTTCATTTCAAATTTAGTGGACCTTTTTTTTTAATCTTGTGAAAGCCGGATACCACCTAACTTGTAACCATCAGTCAGAAAGTTTGGGTTCACCTTTCTCAGGTGATCATGTAATTCACTGTGAATTCATCCTTTGTACCATCTTTCAATTTCATAATTTGTTTTCCACTACCATTTGATTATTTAATAAAAACCATTTGTAATCCATATTGCTAGTAATACTTCACTTGCAAATCCAGACTCGTAGTTTATTTTAAACTTTAATAGTGTCTATTTCTACGTGAACCAATTTTTGGTATAGGTTTTGCCATATTTTATCATCTCATAAATATAAGTCAGAGATATATGGATATATCCATTTCATGCCACCGAAAATGCATCTATTTTGCCCCCCCCCCCCACACAAAAGAAATATTCATTAATGATATTTCTCAAATGTTTTGCAGGAGCAATCTTGGTCAAAACAACATCCAATTGCTGCTATTGGCGAGGACAACCAAACAAGGAATGAGTCCTTCCCGGATTGCATAGAAATACCCACTGATGGAACAGATGTCTGGGAGATTGATACGAGGCAGCTGAAATTTGAGAACAAAGTTGGATCTGGGTCATTCGGTGATCTGTAAGTTATATTTTGAATTCTGTGTTGGATTGCATGCAGGTGCTTGTTTGACATTCTATTTCCAACTTCTTTCAGGTACAGAGGCACATATTGTAGTCAGGAGGTTGCCATAAAAGTTCTCAAACCGGAGCGTGTCAATGCAGAGATGTTGAGAGATTTTTCACAGGAAGTTTATATACTGAGGTTTATCTAAATACTGTGTATGCTTGTTAGTGGCAGTTGTCATTTTTTATACATCTTTTTTAAACTTCATGATATCATGATTTTGGCAGGAAGATTCGGCATAAGAATGTTGTGCAATTTATAGGTGCATGTACAAAGCCTCCAAACCTATGCATTGTGACAGGTATATATAAGAGAATCCTTTATATTAACAATCGTCATGTGCTCAAGTATCTCATTATATGAGATGTCATGATTGTTACTGATGGCTGCCGTACTTTCATCTTTGCTACATGATGTCTAACTAGTTACAACTAGAAGAAAATAAGTCTGGTGTTGTGATAGAAGTGATTGGTAACTTCTATGAATTTTCATTTTATGAAATATGCGGTGCATTTTTGAATTTGTTATTTGTACGTTTACTTGGCCTCCTTTTTCAATTCACTGACAAACACCTTTTGATGCTTATGTTTCTGCTTATCAGAATTTATGTCCAGAGGAAGTGTATACGACTTTCTGCATAAACATAGGGGTGTGTTTAAGCTTCCCTCTCTGCTCAAAGTAGCAATTGATGTTTCCAAGGGAATGAACTATTTGCACCAAAATAATATAATCCACAGGGATCTTAAGACGGCCAATCTTCTGATGGATGAACACGAAGTAAGTGGATTCCTCGTCTCTTCAGTGAATGACTCATTGTGTGTCAAATATGTTTTTCCTTTGCATTTATAGAGATTTAAATTCAAAAAGAACTTTCGTGTGTCAATTAACTATTCTTTCTTAAGCATGTTTTCTTTGATTTGTAATGATTAAAGTCGTAGATCTTTCTTGTACAGGTTGTTAAGGTTGCTGATTTTGGCGTTGCCAGAGTGCAGACTCAATCTGGAGTGATGACAGCTGAAACTGGAACATACCGCTGGATGGCTCCTGAGGTAGGCATCTTCTTGGCTATCAACTTTTATTTTGTGGAATAATATTGCAAAGAGAATAATTTCCTAGTGTTTTAAGTCAGAACTGCTTTATAGTGATATGATTAATAGTTTAGTAATTCATGGGGTTCATACTCAAATCAACTAAGCTTTTATCCACAAGGGTATTTACAGTTATCATGGGGTTTAACAATGACTAGGTTGGTTGATTGGACTTTAATTCATTTTTTCTTGAATGAAGGTCATTGAACACAAACCATATGATCACAAGGCAGATGTTTTCAGTTTTGGAATAGTACTGTGGGAGCTTCTAACAGGACAAGTAAGTGCTATTTTCCTTTGCAAGAATAAGTTTTTTTTCCCCTAATTACTTCAGCAATCCATGAGTTCATAATGGCATTAATTTCAAAACTCATGGTCTTCTTTATGATGTATTTACCAGCTCCCTTACTCATCCTTGACTCCATTACAAGCAGCAGTAGGTGTGGTGCAAAAGGTATACTTACCCTCCCAATTTGGCATAAATGTAACGTGCACAATATTATTATCGAATCACTCTAATTGGCATGGCTGTCCTGTCAGGCCTTACGACCCACAATTCCCAAGACCACTCACCCAAGGTTCGCCGAACTGCTTGAGAGATGCTGGCAGCAAGACCCAACTCAAAGACCCCACTTCTCCGATATCGTAGAAATCCTGCAGAATTTGGCCAAGGAGGTACTTTCTTACCCGACTGTATACCTTCTGGCCCATAAAACATATTTAAATCCTTTAATTTTGAAACAGGTCGGAACTGAGGGAGAAGATCGACGCAAGGATAAATCAGGTGGTTTTTTCTCGGGACTGAGATGGGGCCATCACTGAGCACAGAAGATAAGAGAAATCTGATTTTGTATGTGGACCATTTTCATTGCACATACCTTCTGCATTGTACAGACTTTGCCAAGCAATCAAGAGTTTTTATTGAAATTTGTTCTTGTTTTTTCGGGTGGTCTTCTCTTTATAGACCCTGTTTTTCTTCGTCTAAATTAGGCCCACCGATTAGCGGTAGAGCCGTAACAGAAAGATAATGTAAACTACCTTGTGGTATTAAATTTTCGTTTTAATAAGAAACTGCACCTTATGTAGGAGAAGAATTTTGCTAAATCTTAAAATTAGAAGTACACAGCCTTTTATCAGGAAGTTCTTTGACTTCCCAGATCTTTGTATTTAAAGTCTTAATGTCGGACGTTCATTAGACATGTTTATCAAACACGGTTAAGCTGCGACGGATCTGCCATTGCTAGACTCGCTGAGGAGCTGCCGTGCACGGACCTTGACCTGCAACCGGACAAGCGCATGCATGCAATGGAGAGCCATACGTGCTTGTTTCCGCACACACGCCCCACGAACCAAGGCTTGCAGCTTCACCAGGCTCCTTAGTGCTCGAAATGCTTGCCTGGCCTGTCAAATTGTTTAAATAATCACAAACCTACAAATTCAACAATTATCATCCATCAACCAAAATCTGGCCATACGAAAAATAACAAGTAGGGTTGCGTACAAGATGCCCCCTGAAAAACGCTTGGAGCTTGATGGCTGCAATATCTTCGTGGGATAAAAATTTCTTTGTGGATGATGAAGACGATGAAGCAGAGCCGTTGAGATCTTGGTACCTGACTGATTCTTCATGAGTGCTTGGGCTGGTGTTGGTGTAGACGACAATGATGTCTCTGTTAGATGATCTGCCTAGCTTTCTTCGAATTGTTTTGAACCATTTCCGGTAACTTCCCATTCTTGTATACTTGTTGTCGTATGACATTTAAAAAGAGTGCGAGTTAAGTTGGGGCATTCATTCTCCACTTTAAAGCAAATTGAAAACGGTGACGTAAAGGGAGGAGATGTGGGCACCATGTTCATGTTTTCCTTCCATTTCCCCTGTGTGAGAGAGAGAGAGAGAGAGAACGTGGAGGGATGAATATCTCTCTACCCACCAGCTGTGTGTGAGTTTGAAGCATTCTACAGTGAAAGTCTCTCAAACTCAAGTGAGTTGGCAGAACAACAACGTGCACTTTTCACTCGCGAAACGACATGTATTTCTCAAATGGTTTCATAATCAGTAGCATCAATCAACAATTTTTGGTTGTGAATTCTAATAAGCATAAAGCAAGCATATAAGATAGTGTTTTCAACTCTGGTAAAAGTAGAGCACTTCTCTAACTTGTTTACAAAGTTTTCTGGGTGATTGATTTATTTACCAACTTTTCTTTCTGTTTGATACACATTACATTACATATGACATTTTCTTTGACCTTTTCTCTCTCTCTCTCTCTGTCTCTCTGGCAGGACACAATCAAGTTTCATTTCTCTGTTGGAAGTCCAGTCTGTGTCCAAGCAGCATATCCACCAGCTATGTCTGTAATGCCACTGAATCCCTGCAAAAATGGAAAGCCATTGAGCCCAAAACCAGTTCCATTAATAAAACATTGCATCCTTCAATATTATTTGATGTGGATTTTCATAAAATATGCGATCATATTAATGATCATACTAAACTATATAACATATCAAAAAGACACATTCTGTCTCTGCCCGAAGTCTTTTTTCTGAATTTTTATATGCAACAACACAACCTATTTGATAACGACGTTCAACCAAAATGTGATGTCCATAAGTAATTAATTACTTAACAACAAAGTTGTGCTTACAGCAGCTAGGAGATCAGTTGCAGCCATCATGGACCTTTTCCCAAGCTGGCATCCCTGTCGAGCCATTAGGTTAAAAACTTAATGGGGGCTCAAATTCATTAAAAAAGATAGTGAAAATAACTGGAACTCACAACGATAATCTCATCATGTTTTCTGAAATGTGATGCCACTTCTTTTAGAAATTCAGGGTTCTTTGACATCCCTGCATACAACAACACAATTACAAATGAATACAATCATTTAATTTTAGAAAAAAAGTAATCAAGAAGAAGGTGTGAAGAACAAAAAGTGAACCTGATCCAAGTTTGTACAAGTAAGGGACGTTAACAGCCCCAGGGGCATGCCCTCTACTGAACTCATCAGGGGTCCTACACAAACACAGACAATTAACCCAAAAGCAAAAACAATCAAACAAAGAAATCAAGATTAATTAACAGAGTGATTAACTTTAATAGAGAAATTAAAATAAAAGAGAGAGTACCTGACATCCAAATATTTGTGTCCAGCTTGAAGAAGCTCATGCGCCACACGAACTGGCACTGAAGTTGGAACACCAACAGCCTCCAAATTCCCTTTCTGGGCAGCTGTCGGACTTTCCCAGTTGCCAAACAACACCACAGTTGGTATCAAACACAATATTTTTAACATACAAAAAAAAAAAAAA